TAAAGACTGAGTTGTTCTCACCCATGTTTCCCTCCAGGATTGTATCTCACCCAGAGCACTCAGGCTGCGATCGGTGAGTATCCTTTTAATGTTTAAGGATTGAATAGAGTTTGGCCAGATATCAGCTCTCTTGGGGGCTGACAAGTGGGGTCTTGGCATTTAAACTCGAGGCTATAAAGATGAGGACGTGGAGGATGGCATGAGAAACAGATACAGCTGTAAATTTATTACCTGTTTTTCTAGCACAGCATCGCAAACCTGTTATCACAGCTCAGCCTGGATCCGAGGTTCAATATAATGAACCAGTGACCATCCGATGCCAAGGGCCTCCCTACGCTGAAGCCTACAAGATATACAAAAAGATAGAACCTGAGCCTAGGAATGGAAGTAAATTCCTGGTGGCTGGTAGGACCAACACTTTATATATCCAAAAGATGAAGTGGGACAATATAGGACTGTACCGCTGTTCCTATATGGGAGCAGGATTCTGGTCCCCCCTCAGCAACCCCCTGCAACTGGTGATGACAATGGGTGAGTGGGACCCAGGCAACAGGGCTGGGCGGGACCATTTTGCAGAGGGAGAACCAGGCTCTGAGATACGGAGCAGGAAGCAGCAAAGCCTCTACCTCTAGGAAGGCATCAGGGATGATGCCGAGACACGTTCCCTCAGGGCGGGACACGGAGGGGATAGAAGCCAGAGGCACATCTGCTGCTGGGGACAGGAAGGGACGTGGCCTGCCCTTTATCAACAACTTCCTTCTTTATCTGGATCTTATGACAAACCCTCACTCTCCAGCATGAGTGGCACAGGAGACAATGTGAAGTTACAGTGTTTCTCCAACACCACGTTTCATATATTTATTCTCAGCAAAGAAGATGCACTTCTCACCACTCAGACACAAAGCTCCACAGTCCAGGACAATGGACAGCAGACCACCTTCCACATGGACCATTTCATGTCCACACAGGCAGGGACCTACAGTTGCTACGGTGCCTTCAGCAAAGACCCCTATGTGTGGTCTCACCCCAGTGACCCACTGCAGCTGGTGGTCAGAGGTGAGGAAGGCCCTCCATCCCCATGTCCCCTTCTGGAGATGACACTGTCCACTTAGGGAGTGACTGGAAGAAAGAGAAGAGTGTGGTGGGAAACCCTTGGCAAAACCATCTGCTTCCACAAAAGACACAAGCACCCCACCCACACACACCATGCAGGCCTCCTAGATATGGCCAGGGGAAACACTTTTTGAAGCATGTGATTATCTAACCACTAGGTTGTACACCTGAAAATAATACCAAGTGATAGTGAATGTAAACTGTAATTGACAATTTAAATATTTCTAAAAGCCTTAGCTGTTCTCACCCAATGTTTCCTTCCAGGGTTGTATCCAGCCCAGAGCACTCAGGCTCAGAATGCTGAGTATCCTCATAATGTTCATGGATGGAGTAGGGTTTGGCCAGATATCAGTTCTCTTAGGGGCTAGGAAGAGGAGTCTTGACATTTAGAATTCTGGCTAAGAGGAGAGGAAGTGGCGGGTGGCATGAGAAACAATTACACCTGTAAATTTATTACCTGTTTTTCTAGTTGGTCTCACCGCACCTGTTATGAAAGCTCTACCTGGACCCATGGTTTTATATAATGAACCAGTGACCATCCTGTGCCAAGGGCCTCCGGACGCTGAAGCCTACAAGATATATAAAGTGGAAGGACTCGAGCCTAGGGAAGAACGCAAATTGCTGGTGGCTGGGAAACCTAACACTTTCTCTATCCAAGAGATGAAAGCAAACTGGACAGGACTGTACCACTGTTCCTACGAGAGAGGAGTGTGGTCCCCGCCCAGCGGCAACCTGGATCTGGTGATGACGGGTGAGTGGGACCCAGGCAGCAAAGCCGGGAGGGACCTCTTTGCAGAGGGAGAACCAGGCTCTAAGATACGGAGCAGGAAGCAGCAAAGCCTCTACCTCTAGGAAGGCATCAGGGATGATGCAGAGACACATTCCCTCAGGTGGGACACAGAGGGGATAGAAGCCAGAGGCACATCTGCTGCTGGGGACAGGAAGGGACGTGGCCTCCCCTTTATCAACAACTTACTTCTTTCTCAGGATCTTATGACAAACCCTCGCTCTCAAGCATGAGTGGCAGGGTGGTGGCTCCAGGAGACAATGTGACGTTACAGTGTTTCTCCAGAATGAAGTTTGATTCTTTTATTCTCACCAAAGATGGTGCACCTCAGTTCACCCACAGACAAAGCTACACAGTCCAGGACAATGGACTCCTGATCACCTTCTACATGGACAGTGTCACCTCCACTCAGGCAGGGACCTACAGATGCTACGGTGGCTTCAACAAAAACTCCTCTATGTGGTCTCACCCCAGCGACCCATTGCAACTGATGGTCAGAGGTGAGGAAGCTGGTCCATCCTCACATCCCCTTCTGAAGATGACACTGTCCACTTGGAGCAGTGACTGGTGGGAAGCCGTGTCCACCCCATCAGCTTCCACAAAAGCTATGAGGTCCTCACCCCTAATCAGACCAGGCAGGAATTTGAGCACAGATAAAACATAACATCCCCATTTCATCCCCATTTGCAGCAGCTGCTGACAATTCTGATCCCACAGAACCCCGCCGTTCTCATGGGTAGTCTTTTTTTTTTTTTTTTTTTTTTTTTTTTAGTGTAAGAGACCATTTATTGGGTAAATTCCAGAGGTAGAAGTAAGTCCTATAAGAAAGGGCTTAGGTATCAAGTCATGGAGGTAAAGCAAAGGCCCATGGAGCTTGGCAGTGAGGAAGCTAATGGTAAGGTGCCTGGTGGGGGAAGTGGGAAAGAGAAAGGGAAATGGAGAAGCAAGACAATGGCACAGGCGTGGTATCTGGATGGAGAGCACCAGAAGGAGCAGGAAAGGTGAAGGAAGATTAGCTGCAAAGAGAAATAGGGAGAAAAAAGATTCAACTAAAGACACAAGGAATATCAGGGAATTCATTCCTCATCAGCTGAGTCAATAGTTTCCAGAGGGATTTCTAAAAGAAGGACCAAGCAGGGCTCCCATGGAGAAGACTGGAAGCTCCCCACCCAGTTCCCACCCCTGCCTTTCATGACCCCAGAATTCCTTAAGGCTATCACCACAGGGCTCATAATGACAAGAGGAAAGAAGGCAGATATTGCTTATGCAGACGGTGGCTGGGCAGCGACCTCCCAGATCCAGGAGACTGGAGACATGAGCTCAGGTGGAGGGCACTTTCCTGAGAGGGGCTTTGGCTCCTCCTCTGTGACCTCTGTTCTTTCTCTCTCAGGACCTGCTGGTTGGAGTGTGTCCCCCCAGAACCAAGTCCGGCTGAGCCTAGCTGGCCTGTTTCTCTTGGTCCTGGTGGTCCTGGTGGCAGAGGCCTGCTACAGCCACAAGAGGTCCTTCTATGGACTCAGATCAGATCCTTACCTGAGCGTCATGACAAACACTGAGGATACTCGTGGCATCTAAGGACAGTGTTGACCTGTGGGGCAGGTGACCAGAAGAAACCAGGCGCTGTCTGTGTTGTCTTGAATAGATCAAGTGATGGGGTGTGTCCGTCTCCTACAGAATCTGTCACAATGTCCCAACATCGTTGTGAATTAATGCAGTACTAATGGGTGTCTTGGAGGTCAGAAGAGCAAATGCCTAAAATGTGTCCACTGGCCAGCATGGCTTTTGTTAGAACTTATCTTTTATTGTTGGAAATATTACAGATGTTCCTATCTTTTCCCCATGGACCCCATCCAACCTGCACCCATGCCCCAACCCAGGACATCACTGCATTATAATATGTGTCTATGGTTTTTGCATATGTGCATATAAGTTCTTTAGTTCATCTCTTCCCAAACCCTGACCCCATTTGTCTGAGACTCATCAGTCTGTTCCATGCTTCTATGTCTCTGGATCTATTTTGTTCATCAGTTTATTTTGTTCATTAGATTCCACATAAGAGTGAGATCATCTTTCTCTGACTGGCTTAGTTCATTCACCATGAAAAATTAAAAGGGACCTTCCATTTGACCCAGTGATTCCACTCCTATGAATATATCCTAAGAAGCCCTATATACCAACCAGAAAGAATATATGCATCCCTGTGTTGATATCAATGTTATTTGCAATCGCTAATATCTGGACACAGCCCAAGTGCCCACCAGTAGATGAGTTAATACAAAAGTTTTGGTACATTCACACAATGGGATACTGTGCAGGTTTAAAAAAGAAGACTCTATGCTATTTTTCATTAAATTTATTGTGGTGACATTGGTTAATAAGATTATATAGGTTTCAAATGAACAATTTTATGATACATGATCTACATATTGCATTGTATACTTCTCAACCATGAGAACAGATTAAATACTGTCATTTGTAACAACATGAATGGACCTTGAGAATATTATGCTGAGCAAAATGAGTCCGTCAGGAAAAGCTAAGAACTGTATCATTTCACTCACAGGTGGGATATAAAACTGAAACTCATAGACACAGACAACACTATGGTGATTACCAGAGGAAAGGGAGTAGAAGGGCAAAGGGGACCACCCAGTGTGGTTTCTTGGTTGAGCATCAACCTATGAACCAAGATGTCACTGTTTGATTCCCTGTCAGGGCACATGCCCAGGTTCCAAGCTCCATCCCCAGTGTGGGACATGCTGGAGGCAGCCCATCAATGATTCTCTCTAACCATTAGTGTTACTATCTCTCGCTCTCTCTCTCAATCTGCATTCCTCTCAGAAATCAATAAAAATATATCTTTTTTTAAAAAGAGGTAAAGGGGACCAAATAGATGGTGACCTAAGAGGATTTGGCTTTGGGTGGTATGGAGGCTCCTCAAAAAATGAAGAATAGAGTTATCGCCCAGCTGCTATGGCTCAACTGGTTGAGCATCATTTCAGGCACCAAGAGGTCGCTGGTTCAATTCCAGGTTGGGTCACATGCCTGGGTTGCAGACTCAATCCCCAGTAGGGGGGTGCAGGACATAGCTGCTCAATGTTTTTCTCTCTCTTCCTTTCCTTCTCTCCCTCTTCCTTCTTTTCTCTCTAATATAAATAAAACATAAATGAGAGAGAAAGGTGGTATAGATGATTCATAGATAGATAGTTGGATGATAGGGAAATATAATAAATTATATATAGATACATAGATAGTTATAGATAGATATATACATGATAGAAGGTAGGTAGATGAGAGAAAGCTCGTATGAATGATAGATAGATGATAGATAGATAGATAGATAGATAGATAGATAGATAGATAGATAGATAGATAGATAGATAGATAGATGATAGATAACAAAAAACAGATGATAGATAAATATAATATATGATAGATAGATACTATTAGTAACAGATGGAAATATACATGATAGAAAGGTAGGTAGACAAAATATAAAGAAAGAGACACAGAACTACAAAGGCATATTTTGTCCCAGTGTCAAAGAAAAGAAAGTCTTATCTAACCATTTTGACCTGTCTGCTCCTTCCTCTCGGTTGGAATCTTCCACTATCTTCTTAATCCTGAGAAAACTCCAATTTCTCATCTGCGATTAAATCACCTCTGCTCTATGCCAGCCGTGGGCAAACTACGGCCCAAAGGCCAGATCCGGCCCATTCGGCTGTTCTATCCGGCCCGCAGAGCCGAAAGAGCAGAGGGTTCTCTTGCTCTCCCCTCCATTCCTTCACCAGCACCAGTGTTAACATGGCAACGTCGGGAAACACGGCCGCAGCTCCTTCTTCTGAGTCCAGTTTAAGAACCCACTGTGGCCCTCGAGTCAAAAAGTTAGCCCACCCCTGCTCTACGCCCAGGCCATACACCAGTGGCACAAACACAGGGTCTCACTTCCTCAGCTAATTGAACCGGTTGTGGTGATGCTGGGGTTAAGCTTAGATGGATGTTGACTGAAACACCACAACCACAGGGAAACCCTAGAAGCAGCAGGAGATATTTCTGAACCTGAAGAACCAGGTAGGATTTGTCATTATCTACAGTATCCTCAGGGTCTGAGGAATGAAGACATGACCAAATAACTTGAAACATTAACCCAATCCACCATAGTTCTTGTGAAGTTTATGTACAACTTTCCCCACAGAAATTTGATAAAATGAAAGCCCAGCAAAGGTCAGCTGTTATATTACTCAGATTTGTGTGGAAGACTGACTCATGTCTGGGCAGAGAGGGAAAGATTTTAAATCTAAATTATGTGTTTATTGCGAAGAGTGGATGGCATAACTACTCAGTAAGGTTCAGCCAGTGAGATGGTTTAAAAACAAAGAGGCATTGCCTAGCCGATGGGGCTAAGTAGTTGAACACTGACCTATGAACCAGGAGGTCATGGTTCGATTCCCTTTCAGAGCACATGCCTGGGTTGTGGGCTCGATCCCCTGTGTGCGGCGTGCAGGAGGCAGCCAGGCAATGATTCTCTCTCATCATTGATGGTTCTACCTCTCTCTCCCTCTCCCTTACCCTCTCTGAAACAATAAAAACATATTTTTTTAAAATAATCAAAACAGCCGAAGCCGGTTTGGCTCGGTGGATGGAGCGTAGGCCTGCAGACTGGGGGGTCCCGGGTTTGGTTCCAGTCAAGGGCATGTACCTGGGCTGCGGGCACATCCCCAGTGGGGGATGTGCAGGAGGCAGCTGATCGATGTTTCTCTCTCATCGATGTTTCTAACTCTATCTCTCTCCCTTCCTCTCTGTTAAAAATCAACGAAATATATTTTTAGAAAAACAATAACAACAAAGGGGTGAACAGAAGCCGGCATTCGAATAAACCTCTTTCCTTTTACCAGCAAAAATAAAAGACCCAAGGGGTGACAAAACCCACTGAAATTACCTTGCTTAGGTTCATCACTTTCATCCACGGACAGAGTCAGTGCTAACAGCATGGTGGAAACATGCACAGCAAACAAAGAACTAATAATTATGTCATTGCCTCGCTAGGAGGGCCTGCTCTGGACTACATGCACACACTGTGAGTCTAGCTTTGCAGAAAGACAGAACTATTGACTCATTTTATACATGAACAGGAGGAAGCTCTGCATTTAGTAGCAGGAGCCATGAGCTCACAGTGTATTTCAGAGCAGATCTCAGACTGGGAACTACTTCTGTCCTGTTCTTCACCTGTGATCCCTCTTACTGCTCATTTCATACAGAAAGATTAAATGCCCATGAGGAATTGGGGACAGAAAATAGAGACCAAGCTGGGCTGATGGAGGTTTGAAGTTCAGATGACTAACATCATGATCTCAGCTGCCTCTTCAAGGCTTTCACAGGAGATGTTGTGAAATGCCTTCACTCTGGGCGTGAGAAGCAAGGCCCTCCCACCACTTCCTGTGCTTGGTGTGACTTTCAGAGAAGTCTGTTCCGCTTAAAGGCAGCAGTGCTGAGGCCAATGGGCCAGAGAGGACCCAGAATCATGTCGGTGGTTCTTCCCACTCTGCTCTATCTTGGTGAGTCTGGACAGAAGGATCAGGGTGCAAACACAATGCTACTGGGGCAGGTCGGCGGTTCTATAGGGCTGGGCTGTTCTCCAATATGAATGAGCAAACAAAACAGAAACAGACTCACAGACACAGAGAACAGACTGATGGTTGCCAGAGGAGAGTGTATGGGGACTGGGTGTAAAGGAGAAGGGATTGAGAAGTATAGATTAGGAGTTACAGAATACTCATGGGAGCGTAGAGTACAGCATAGAAAATATAGCCTATAGTTTTGTAACCAGTATATATGGTGCCAGGAGGGTAGTGGACATAGCAGGGGAAGCACTTTGTAACGTATATGAATATCTAACCACTAGGCAGTACACCTGAAACTAATACAAAGTGATTATGAATGTAAACTGTAATTGAAAATTTAAAAAATGTTTTAAAGCCTGAGCTGTTCTCACCCAATATTTCCTTCCAGGGTTGCATCTAGCCCAGAGCACTCAGGCTCAGAATGGTGAGTATCCTTTTAATGTTCAAGGGCTGAGTTGGGTTTGACCAGATATCCACTCTCTTGGGGGCTGGGTAGAGGGGTCTTGGCAATTAGACTCGTGGCTGTAAAAAAAAGGGGGGAGGAAGTGGGAGGTGGCATGAGAAACAGATACACCTGTAAATTTGTTACCTGTTTTTCTAGGATATTTCCTCCCACCTGTTATCACAGCTCTGAATGAATCCATGGTTCTACCTAAAAATCCTATGACCATCCTGTGCCAAGGGCCTCCAGACACTGAAGCCTATGAAATATATAAAGTGGAAGAACCTGAGCCTAGGGACAGAAGGAAATTGCTGCTGGCTGGGAAGACCAGCACTTTATCTATCCAAGAGATGAAACCAGACAAGACAGGACTGTACCGCTGTTCCTATCAGAGTGGAGGACACTGGTCCTCACTCAGTGACATCCTGCGTGTGGTGATGACCGGTGAGTGGGAACCTGGCAGCAGGGCCGGGAGGGACCTCTTTGCACAGGGGAGAACCAGGCTCTGAGATACAGATCAGGAAGCAGCAAAGCCTCTGCCTCTAGGAAGGCATCAGGGATGATGCAGAGACACATTCCCTCAGGGCTGGACACAGAGGGGATAGAAGCCAGAGCCACATCTGCTCCCAGGAAACAAGAAGGGAGAGTGCATGGAGGTGGCCTCCCATTTATCAGCAAACTTCCTTATTTCCCAGGAACTTATGACAAACCCTCGCTCTCCAGCATGAGTGGCACGGTGCTGGCTTCAGGAGACAATGTGAAGTTACAGTGTTTCTCCAGTTTCAAGTTTGATGCATTTATTTTCATCAAAGATGATACACCTCAGTTTACCCAGAGACAAAGCTCCACAGCTCAGGACAATGGACAGCAGACCACCTTCCACATGGACAATGTCACCTCCACACAGGCAGGGACCTACAGATGCTACGGTGCCTTCAGCAAAGACCCCTATGACCCCAGCAACCCATTGCAGCTTGTGGTCAGAGGTGAGGAAGCTGGTCCATCCCCATGTCCCATTCAGGAGATGACACTGTCCACTTAGAGCAGTGACTGGTTTGGAAGACATATCCACACCATCAGCTGCCACAAAAGCTATGAGGTCTTCACCACTCACCCACCATGCAGGCCTCTGACACATGCCCAGGGGCTGGGAGAGCATGTAGGTCACTGTGAATCTGAGGAGACAGAGCCTGAGCACAGATAAGGAAACCACCCTCATTTCATCCGCATTTGAGAAGCTGCAGACAATCCTGATCCCACAGAACCCAGCCGTCCTCATGGTGAATAACTGGTAGTCTTTTTTTTTTTTAACTGTAAGGAGACCATTTATTGGGTAAATTACAGAGGTAGAAGAAGTAAGTCCTAGAAGAAAGGGGCTTAGGAAACAAGTTATGGAGGTAAAACAAGGGCCTGTTTGGCAGTGAGGAGGCTAATGGTAATGTTCCTGGCAGGGGAAGCAGGGAAGGAAAAAGGGGATGGAGAGGGAAGAGAATGGCACAGGGGTGCTCTCTGGATGGAGAGCGCCAACAGGTAGTCTTTGCAGAAGGAGCAGGAAAGGTGAAGGATGATTAGGTGCAAAGGGACCGAGGGAGAGAGAATCTTCGACTAAAGACACAAGGAATATCAGGGAGGCCATTCCCCATCAGCTGAGTCAATAGTTTGCAGAGGGGCATCTTAAAGAAGGATCAGGCAGGGCTCCCATGGAGAAGACTTAAAGCTCCTCACCCAGTCCCCACACCTGCCTTTCATGACCCCAGAATTCCTTAAGGCTATCACCACAGGGCTCATAATGAAGAGAAGAAAGAAGGCAGATATTGCTTATGCAGAGAGAGGGTGGCTGGGCAGCGACCTCCCAGATCCAGGAGACTGGAGACATGAGCTCAGGTGGAGGGCACTTACCTGAGAGGGGCTTTGGCTCCTCCTCTGTGACCTCTGTCCTATCTCTCTCAGGACCTGCCGGTTGGAGTGTGTCCCGTGAGAACCAAGTCCTGCTGAGCCTGGCTGGCCTGGTTCTCTTGGTCCTGGTGGTCCTGGTGGCAGAGGCCTGCTACAGCCACAAGAGGTCCTTCTATGGACTCAGATCAGCTCCTTAGCTGAGCATCATGACAAACACTGAGGATACTCATGGTATCTAAGGACAGTGTTGACCTGAGGGGTGGGTGACCAGAGGAAACCAGGTGCTGGCTGTGTTGTCTACCAGATGATGGGGTGTGTCTTTCTCCTGCAGAATCTGTCACAATGTCCCAACATCACAGTGAATTAATGCAGTACTAATGGGTGTCTTGGAGGTCAGAAGAGCAAATGCCTAAAATGAGTCCACTGGCCAGCATGGCTTTTGTTATAACTTATCTTTTATTTTTGGAAATATTACAGATGTTCCTATCTTTTCCCCATGGACCCCATCCAACCAGCACCCATGACCCCACCCAGGACATCACTGCATTATAATCTGTGTCTATGGTTTTTGCATATGTGCATATAAGTTCTTTGGTTCATCTCTTCCTGACCCACTTTGTCTGAGACTCATGCTTCTATGTCTCTCGATCTATTTTGTTCATCAGTTTATTTTGTTCATTAGATTCTACATATGAGTGAGATCAGTGGTAACTGTCTTTCTCTGACTGGCTTAGTTCACTCACCAAGAAAATTTAAAAATGGGACTTCCATTTGACCCAGTGATCCCACTCCTAGGAATATATCCTAAGAAGCCCTATATACCAATCAGAAAGAATATATGCATCCTATGTTCATGGCAGTGTTATTTACAATAGCTAATATCTGGAAATAGCCCAAGTGCCCATCAGTAGATGAGTGGATGCAAAAGCTGTGGTACATTTACACAATGGAATACTATGCAGCTGTACAAAACAAGGATCTATGCTATTTTTTCATGAAATTTATTAGGGTGACATCCTATATAATAAAAGCCTAATATGCTAAGTGTCTGACTGATTGGTCTATATGTGACACAGCACCAGAGTTAAGTTAGAGTTTTTCAAAATGCTGACACGCCGAGCTCAAAAGGTTCGCCATCACTGGTCTACAGTGTCATCAGGGTCTGATGAACGAAGACATGACTAAATAACTTAGAACACTAACCAAATCACCACAGTTCTTTTGAAGATTATGTGCCTCTTTCCCCACAGGAACTTGATAAAATGAAAACCCAGTAAAGGTCAGCTGTTATATTACTTCAGATTTGTGTGGAAGAGTGACTCATGTCAGTGCAGAGAGGAGAAGATTTTAAATCTAAGTTATATGTTTATTGAGAAAAGTGGATGGCATAGCTACTCAGTAAGGTTCAGCCAGTGAGATGGTTTAAAAACAAAGAGGTGATGCCCAGCCCATGGGCCTAAGTAGTTGAGCATTGACCTATGAACCAGGAGGTCACGGTTGGATTCCCAGTCAGGGCACATGCCTGGGTTGTGGACTCCATCCCCTGTGTGGAGCATACAGGAGGCAGCCAGACAATGATTCTCTCCCATCATTGATGTTCCTACCTCTCTCTCCCTCTCCCTACCCCTCTCTGAAATCAATAAAAACATATTTAAAAAAAAAAACAAAAATAACCAAAACAGGGTGAAGAGAAGCCGGCACTCAAATAAACCTCTTTCCCTTTACCAGCAAAAATAAAAGAACCAAGGGGTGGCAAAACCCACTGAAATTACCTTGCTTAGGTTCATCACTTTCATCCACGGACAGAGTCAGTGCTAACAGCATGGTGGAAACATGCACAGCAAACAAAGAACTAATAATTATGTCATTGCCTCGCTAGGAGGGCCTGCTCTGGACTACATGCACACACTGTGAGTCTAGCTTTGCAGAAAGACAGAACTATTGACTCATTTTATACATGAACAGGAGGAAGCTCTGCATTTAGCAGCAGGAGCCATGAGCTCACAGTGTATTTCAGAGCAGATCTCAGACTGGGAACTACTTCTGTCCTGTTCTTCATCTGTGATCCCGCTTACTGCTCACTTCATACAGAAATATTAAATGCCCATGAGGAATTGGGGACAGAAAATAGGGACCAAGCTGGGCTGATGGAGGTTTGAAGTTCAGATGACTAACATCATTATCTCAGCTGCCTCTTTGAGGCTTTAGCAGAAGACATTGTGAAATGCCTGCACTCTGGGGTTGAGAACCAAGGCCCTCCCACCACTTCCTGTAGGTTGGTGTGACTTTCAGAGAAGTCTGTTCCGCATAAAGGCAGCATTGCTGAGGCCAACGGGCCAGAGAGGACCCAGAATCATGCCAGTGGTTCTTCCCATTGTGCTCTATCTCGGTGAGTCTGGACAGAAGGATCGGGGTGCAAGCACAATGCTACTGGGGCAGGTCGGCGGTTCTATAGGGCTGGGCTGTTCTCCAATATGAATGAGCAAACAAAACAGAAACAGACTCACAGACACAGAGAACAGACTGATGGTTGCCAGAGGAGAGTGTATGGGGACTGGGTGCAAAGGAGAAGGGATTGAGAAGTATAGATTAGGAGTTACAGAGTACTCATGGGAGCGTAGAGTACAGCATAGAAAATATA